TGGGGGGGTTTGCCTCTGTTAGAGAGAGCTGGAGTCTACTCTGTACATTTCCTATGGCTTGATATGGGCCTGGACTGAGAGTTTGGAATGGATGGAAAGAGATCAGTGAGGTCAATATTGACTGAAAGTCACAGTCCAAATGAGGAACCATGGACTTGAACAGGTACAGGGGCTTTATTTGGTCCTCAGAAAGGGGTGGTGATACCATGATTCCCTGACTCACAAAGCCACCAGGGCAGAAAAGACTTGACCTCCTGAATCAGTTGGTTTCTGTTCTGAAAATGGATCTGGATTTGCATAAATATTGGACTCTAACAGGAACTGGAATGTGAAACATAAGGGACTACTGCTTTGCATACTAGAGATTCAGAATGAACTGCTGTAGTAGTCACCTTTCCTTTGCTGGAACAAAATAACTGATATATACAGCTTGAAGGAGAAAAGGTTTATTTTGGGTCATAGTTTCTGAGGTTTGTTTGTGTTTGGCTGGCTCCAAGGGAGAAAGATGGCAGAAGGGCCTGGAGGAGGTAATCTGTTTACCTCATGGTAGCCAGGAAGGAGAGAGAGAGAGCGAGAGCGAGAGAGAGAGAGAGAGAGAGAGAGAAGTCCTGAGAAGAGATATATCCTTCAAAGTCACGCCCACATTGATCTACTTCCTCCAAGGAGGCCACACCCCCTAACAGTCCAATCAGCTAATGAAGTTATTAATGGATGAGTCCATCAACAAGGCCAGTGCCCTCGTGATCCAATCACCTTCCTAGGCGTCTTCTCTGAATATTGGTATAATGGGGATCAAGCCCTCAATACACGAGTCTCTGGAGGACACTTTATACTTAAACCCTAAGGTATGTTAAGTAGCTCTGTGGTGGTCTTGGGACCCAATCCCCCACCTCATCCAAAAAGTAATGACTGAAAATCAAAAATACACTAATTGACTGGCAGCATCTGTGTGCAAATGTATCTACCTATCCAGCTGCCTGCTTCCTTGATTATACAGGACAGAGCTTGCAACGCAGATAGCCCCTGGTAAGAAGCAGGAAGGATGCAGGGACAGTGGGCACCAGAAGACACAGGTGTTCTAGGATGGAAGCTGCAGCTCATTTCTTGCCTCTTTACCATTTAAAACTATGAAGATGGCACTGACTTAGCCAGCCCCATCGTTTTTGTTTTAAAGATTTGACTGGTTATTTAAAAAATTATTTAAAAATTTCCAAAGATACAAATGTAGACAGAATAGGATGATGAACTTCATGAGCAACTTGAACTTCAACTTGAAGAAGCAGCCTCCATGCCCACCCTATCTACACATCTCTGCTTCTCTCATTTCCACTGACCGTATTTTCAAATACAGTCACATGCCACATAACAGTATTTCCATCAACAAGGATCTGCATATACAATGGAGACCCCATCAAATTATAAAGGAGCTGAAAAAATCCTATTGCCTAGTGACACTGTAGCCATTCTGACATGGTAGCCTGACACATTGCTCATGTGCTTATGGGATGCTGGTGTAAACAAACCTACCACACTGCCAGTTGTATGAGAGCATAGCAATACAGATATGAATGTCCATAAAATTGATAAAAATAAATGCCTCTGTCATTCATCTATGTATTATCTATACTATACTTTAAAAAATTTTGTTTTATTCTAATTTATTAGAAAGAAGTTCCAGTCAAACTGAGCTGCTTTCTCCTTCAGCTTGATGGGCTTTGATCTCCCAGTTTTCAGCGCAGTTATGAAACATCTAGAATCTATCTAACAAATCTTTTTTTTTTTTTTCTTTGGTACCAGGGATCAAGCTTGGGTCCTTGTGCTTGTGCAACAGGCGGCGAAACCACTGAGCTAAATCCCTGGCCCACAACAAATCTTGATATACTATATTTTTTATTGTTAGAGTGTACTCTTTCTGTTTATATTTTTAAAATGTGCTATAAAACAGTGTGCCATTTTATGCCAGCAGCAGCTTTGTGCATCTCATATTTACCATGTCTCTTTATTACATCACCTCCTCTTGTGATTGATTTAATCTCGTTTTTTTATCCGTGGTGGTCCTAGGAACAATGCGCTATATCATGTATAATATATGGATATACATAGCCTAGGTGTAGTAGGCTGTACTATCTAGGTTTGTGTAAATACACTCTATACTCTTTGCAAAATGGTGAGATTGCCTAGCAACACATTTCTCAGAATATATCCCCATTGCTGAGTGATACATGACTGTAAAATGAAAACATGGCTCTTCAGCTTCAGGTCCAGTGTTGAGCATCTTGAGTGCGGAGCATCTTTCTTTTTGTGCCCTAAAAATGGACCCAGGCATTTCTGAGTAAGAAGTAGTGAGATAGGTGATTTCCCTCTCTACTGCAGAGGAAGAGTTTGGTGACTGACAAAAGTCAGTATTTAGGAAAGGAGATCAGTGGAGTATGAATGACTTGGAGGCTCCAGAGTTTGGACATCTGAGAGGATAGGTGGGTGGCAGATGATGCAGGGGGCAGAGGAAGACAGGCAGAGAAATAGGTGGAGAGGATATAGGCAGGCGACCTACCCTGAGCACAGAGGAGAAGGCAGGGCTGGAAGGAGTGGGGTTGGTGGTACAAACCTCGGAATATTCCATAAAAATGTGGCAATACCTGCATGAATTCCCAGAGGGAATGCATCATGCAGAAAAAGGCCCCTAGGGCTGAGTATAGGAAGAGATCCTAAGGTATTGCTGGGAAGGATAGAGGGATCGCCCAGATGCACAAAGAAACATTGGGCAAATGAAAGGAGCAGTTGGGGCTTAAATTTTTGTCTTCTTAAAGCTCAGACTCTTTAGGAGAAGAAAGAAAATTATGATAATGATAACAGTATTTGCCAACTTTTTTTTTTGTACTGGAAATTGAACTCAGGTCCTTGCACTTTCGAGGCAAGCAGTGAAACCACTGAGCTAAATCCCCAGCCCCTCTATTTGCTTTTTTTTGTACTGGAAATTGAACTCAGGTCCTTGCACTTTCGAGGCAAGCAGTGAAACCACTGAGCTAAATCCCCAGCCCCTCTATTTGCTAACTTTTATTGAAGGCTTATTTTATGCTAGCCACCTGATATGCATGATTTCATCTAATTGCCTCTACGGCCTTATAAGGGAAATGCTATTTATCAGCCTCACTTTATAATTGAGGAAGCTGAGACAGTGGCTGGTTTAAACTAACCTAAGTTCATACAACTAGAAGTGGAGTTGGTCTACGAGTTTAGGCAGTTTCAGTTGACAGTCTACAAGCTTAACCCCAACTCTAATCTGCTAGCCTGCCTGGAAAAGCCACTGGCTGTTTTACTGTGGTGAAGGGCAGTCACTGCAGCCCCAATGCAGGGGAAGTACAGGGGATGGATCATCAAGAGCACAAGTCACAAAAGCCACCATGCAAACTGTAAGAGAGACCAACCAGACTCAGAGATTGTCCCTGAAAGACAGAAGAGAGATGTGCAGATTGATGGTTGTGATGGTTAATTTTCTGTGTCAACTTGACTTAGCTAAGCAACACCCAGATAGCTGGTAAAGCATTATTTCTGTTATGTCTTTGAGGGAGTTTCTGTAAGAGATCAGTATTTAAGTCAATGAACTGAGTAAAAAAGAACTATCCTTACCAAAGTGGGTGGTGTCATCCAATATGCTCAGATCAATCAATCAATCAATCAATAGAAAAAAATGAGGAAGAATGGACGTTTGGCTCTGTCTCTTCCTGAGCAGGGACATCTGTCTTTTATGGCCCTTGAACATCAGAGCACCCAGTTCACAGGCCTTGGCCTTTGGGCATCGTAACAGCAGACCCCTGCCTAACTTCTCAGGTCTTTGGCCTCTGACAAAAATCACACCACTGCTTTTCCTGGCCTTCATAATTGCATGAGCCAATTCCTGTAATAAATCTCCTCTTATGTATGAATGTGTTTATCTTATTGGTTCTGTTTCTTGGGAGAACCCTGGCTAGTACAATGATTATAGGGAAACTCTGGTTTTCTGCAAAGTAAAGGAGAAAGCAGAAAAGCTGGTGACAATAGAGAGAAGAGGTGATGGCAGAAGGTGACTTTGGAAGAGAGGCTGGGATGACACTTTTTAGTATGGGTGGAGGGGCCTGGTTTCCCAGGGCCACAGAAAGGTGGTGCTGGGGACCAGGGTGGGGGGAAGTGAAGGGCACATATTTGATTTGATCATGGTAAAAGAAGCCAAGAGTGACTCATCATGTTAAGGTGGGAAGAGATGGTGACCTGTGGGGGAGAAATGACCATTTGAAACTATTGGGACAGACCAGATGGGAGGGCAGACCCCTGGAATTGCCTAGAAGTGGCATAGCAGGGGCGCGAGAAAAAGATGCGGTTGTTTCTTCAGCATTCTCCATAGAGGCTCAACTTGGCCCTGGAGAGTGAGAGATGAGTGAAGGCAGGTGGAGGCCAGGAAATCACATCAGATCGGCCCCTTGGGGACTTTTCACTCTCTCTGCCAGCTGTGTGCCTGGAGGGCAGGACAGGGGGAAAGGGAGGATGGTTTGGAAGAAAGAGGCAGACAGCTGTATCCTGGGCTTAGCCACCTCCAGCTTTGTTCAAATATAATGAATCGCACATCATACAATTCACCTATTTTTTTTTTTTTTTGGTACCGGGGATCAAACTCGGGTCCTTGCGCTTGCGCAGCAGGTGGCAAAACCACTGAGCTAAAACCCTGGCCCCGCAATTCACCTATTCAAAGAGCACAATTTAATGATTTTTTAATGTAATCATAGAGTTGTGCAATCATACCATAATCAACTTTAAGATATTTTGCCCTCTTAATAAGAAAATCTCAGCCATTTAGCTATCACCTCAGAAGCTCCTCCTTGCCCCCAACCCTAAGCAATGAATATCTACTTTCTGTCCCTTTAAGTGTGCCTATATTGGACCTGGCACTAAATGGAATCATATGACACATGATCTTTGTTGTCTGACTTTTTTTTCGCTTAGCATAACATTTTCAAGGTTCAGTCACATTGTGGAATTCATCAGTTTGATAGTTAACTGTTGTGTCAACTTGAGTTGCCCAACTGATCCGCTTAACATAGTTCTGAGTGTGACTGAATGGATTTACTGAAGATGAAAGACCCACCATAGGTGTGAGTAGCACCAACCAATAGGCTTATACCTGAGTGGAATAAAAAAGGGAAAGAAGGACAGCTCACTTCTGTTTCATTGGGGAAGCTCCAGTTTTTGCCTTTGGACATCATCTCCTGGTTTCCAGTACAGACTCTTCAGCCTTGCAGTGCAGACTCTGGCTTCCTGATATGGACTGGCATGGGACTCTACAGTGAGCACCAGGCCTTCAACCTTTGACAGTCCTTTTGTACTCTTCCACACTTGACTCCACGGGCAGCCGTTGTAAGTCTACCTTGTAAATCCATATATATATATGCTTACTATTTTCAAGTGAGTGCTTGCATTAGTTTTCTATGCTGTGTGATATATGGTCACCAATGTAGAAACTTACACTGTCATTTTTTGTCTGTTTCTGTAGATGGGGAGTCTGGCATGGCTCAGCTGAATCTTTTGCTGAGCACAAGGCTGAAACCAGTCTTTGCTGGTCTGAGTTTCTGACTTCAGGAAACATCTGGGGCCCTCTTCTGAAAAGCTTTCCTCATAAATACAGGGTTACCCTTACAACTAACTAAGCCAATGTTTTAAAGACTTAATTAATCTGCAAAACCTCTTCGCCTTGCCCTACTCTCAAACTCAATATTCTATTACCTTTGCCATATTCTAGTGTTTAGAAGCAAGCCACAGGTCCTACCAAAACTCAAGGGGAAGGAATTACACAAGAGCACAGTGGATCATCTGTGACTTCTGCCTACCACAATGCTTGTAGGTCAATTTCATTTTTATCCTCAGGTTCTCCGTCTGTAAGATAATATGCCGAACTAGAAGATTTCTAAATTCTTTTTAAACTCTAAGCTGGATGATGATCATTAGTACTAACATTAATATTATTCTTGTTAATTTACATTAATGTCAATAATATTAATGAAACCACACATTAACTGACCTCTGTAGAATGTTACTTAGTATATGCCAAGGAATGCTCTAAGCATTTTACAGGAATTGTCTCTTTTCATCCTCACAGTAGTTCAAGAGATAGAATGTGTTTTCATCCTAAATTCCTCTAGAAAATGAAAACATTTTCTGCATCTATACTGTCCAATGTGGGAGTTACTAGGCACATATGACTATTTAAGTTACAATTAAATTAAATTAAATTAAAACTTCAGTTCCTCAGTCAAGCAGGAAGTACAATGAAGCAACATCATTATAGAGGTTAAGTAGCATATCTAAGATTACATGTGGATCATACATGATTCTCAGACTGAGTTTTTGGACTAGTGCTGAATTTCATGCATGAACCCAGTTGTCGAAAGAGAAAGAACTTAAGAGAGGAAGAAACATTAAGTTCTTTCCATGTAAAGCTCTGTAGTGTTTCAAAAAAGTCAGAGGTAGCCACCAGCAAATGACCTCAAGTGAGCAGACATTTAATGAGATCACGTTAGCGCCAGGCACTGTTTCACTTTGTGTTACCAGGGACACAGTGATGAGTGTCTCCAGAGAGCTGTAGTTTTCTATGGGAAGCTGGACACATATACTTATTACAAAGCAGCAAAAAACTGATATCCTAAAAGAGATTCAAGCAACCAGTCTGAGGGCCGTAAGAACCCAACCAGGGGTGTCCCTACAATACACACATCAATGTCTTGTTGTTCTGGTCATTTAAACACTCCTTGGTCCTTCGAACAGTCCTAGACAATGTGAACAGTGCCAGGAAAAAACATACAAACTGTTGTTGCAGGACCCTGCTTTGACATTGGCTGACATCTAGTTAACCTCACAATAATAAAGCCACATAGACACACAGTGCGGAAGCAGCTAACAGTCTCAATGAAAAATTAGGTTTTCCATTTCTAACTTTCAGGGGTTATTCAAAGTGTGAGAGAAGTGAGGGGAGTGGGGGAAAGACATTCACGAAAATTGATGAGGAGCATTTGGGCTGGAGCCTTTTGGAATCTGCTCCCAGGCTGGCCCAGCCTGCCCCTGGTGCCTTTGAAGTGAGTTACCTGGATGGTGAGCTAAGCCATGCCTGGCAGAACAGGCAGGAGGCTGTGTGGTCTGGCAAAGAACTGAGTAGAGGGAAGAGGGACTGAGCCTAAGTCTGCGGCTGACTCACAACACTTCTCATGCCAGCATTTCACCATGTGGTCCAGCTAGAAAATTAGAAGAAGCCCAAGTTAGGATCACACCAAGAAATCCAAATGTCCTTCAGGGGCATAAACAAGGCAGCCCTCCTGCTCTCTTAGGCCTCTTTCTCTGTGTGCGTTCCTCTTTTAGCCTTGAGACTATTTGTCTTCTTCCTTTCCTCATGAGTGCTCTTCAGGGCTTGAGTTTGGTCTCTGCCATTTGTCACTGTGGCCAGGTACAAGTGGTCAGAGTGCATAGGGCCCTACCGTCTGCTACTCCAGGCTGTCTTTTACCTTTCCTTTTAAGTTCAAGTGAAATCTGGGTTTCTGCTGTGTTTGGAGTGGTGTGTCTGAGTGGGCCTTTACCGCTCTTCCTTGACAACAAAAAAGTCAGGGGAAGAGAGAAGAATAAAAAATGCTTTTGATCTGGCAAGGGCCTTGCAAGGGCTCTAGTTCTGTCTGTTGCTGGAGCAACAGCGGGGATTTTTAAAAAATAGGTACTTTTGGTACAGGAATAAAGAACAACAACAACAACAACAACAAATCACCCCTTTAAAGTGAGTACTTTTCTCTGGCCTTGGATTCTATCCCCCTCACCCCCAGGTTCTCAGGCCAGACTTCTCCCACTTTTCTACCATTGTATCCTTCCTATTGACTCAGGAAAAAAGGTTCATTTTCCTCCTTCTGTGATCTTCCTCTCCTTCTTTGTTTGGGGTGCATTTCTTTTAATTCCATTATCAGAGGAAGAACCTTGGTCCATGGTGAGGTCTTCCTGAAAACATAATGGGCAGGAGTCATAGAGACAGGACTTGGACCAGAGTGTCTTCACCAATTGGCTGAGTGACCTTGATGAGTTACTGTTTTGAGCCTTAGTTTCATTCATGTGTCAAATGAAAATAATTTCATCTACTGCATGAGTCACTTTCCCATTGCTAGAACAAAATACCAGCTACCTAAAACTTAAAAGAGAAATTTATTTGGGTTATAGTTTCCAGTGGGTTCAATCCAAGGTCATCTGGCTCCAAGGCAGAAAGAGTATGGTGGAAGGGCCTGGCAGAGAACAGGTGCTCAACCTGTGGCAGCTAGGAAACAGAGACAAGGGAGGAGCCAGGAACAAGAATATGCTCTTCCAAGTCATGCCATCTGTGACCCACCTACAACCATATCCCACCTCTTAGAACAACTACTGAACTCATCAATGGACAAATCCACTGATGAGCCTAGTGCTCCGGTGATCCAAATACCTTCCCAACACATGAGACTTTGGGGGTACAGTTTGGATCTAAACCTCCTGTACAGGTTTGGAGTGATCAGGAAAGAGAACAATATAAATCAAATTATTAGCATATTGATCAGTAAATGGACATGGGCTTCTGATCTGGAGTTCCAATTCTTCCTATGCATCTTAGAGACCTGCGAGCATGCCATTAAAGTTACCCTTGGCTTCTCTTAATGCATTCATTTTCCCCTTCTGTATCAGATATGTATCAGACATATTAATGATTGCCTGTCCTGCCACTGTTTATGGGTAATGAGTCTCAGTGTCTTGAACCCTCCTTGCCATTTGCAGTGATGGTTCAGTGTTGGACACGTGATCCCATGAGGTTCTACCCGTGGGTGAAGCTGGGCCAATTAGATTCTCTCTTTCACAAGTGGAAATAAAAGGCACAGAAGAAAGGACCACTTGGGATGGTTGTGGGCATTGAGAATCTTTAGGAGGCTGGCATATTGGGACAAGAACAAGATGAACAAATATTCAGTAGCAAGCAAGGAGGATGGGACCTAATAACCTGGAGCTCAGTGAGATTGGCCGTGGTTCAGAAAAGCTTTGGCCCACAACACCTTCTTCATGATCCTGAGACATTCCTGGCCTGGCTCCCTTTCAAAAACCCCTCTCTGCACTTGAACTAGCTAGAGATTGTTTCTGTTCTTTGCGCTGGAAAGAGCCTTTATTAGAACATTTTCATGGACCATCTGATTTTGAGTGCTGCCAGGCTATCATGAAAAGCCTCTTCATCTCCCACCTTGAAGAGTATTAGGACACAAAATCTTCATGGGATGTTGACTCTGTAGAATGCTACCTGAAAAGAATCCACTCTCTTGTCAAGTTTCATGCTAGATACTTTTCATGATTAGAAAATTCCAATGGTGTCAGACATTTTTCTCCTTTTGCTCAGTTTGAACTCTTTCCATTGTTCTTTTTGTTTTCTCAGGGAGCTTTGTAGCTCCATCTTCTTTCTCTAAGTTGATTGAGTTCTAGGATATCAGAGATCTTTTCTCCTGCTCCTAAAGATTCTGAGTGTTTTAAGGCAGAATCCCCGGAGACCTCCACAATTTGATTGGAAAGCTTTAAACCATATCTTGCTTTTCAGAGACGACTGTCATTTTGGGTTTCTCCTCCATCCTTTTGAGAATTCACTATGCAGTCACAGACATCATCTCTTGGTACATGACACAATACCTGGCTGGTGAAGTGAGCCATTCTATCCACCTAGAGACAGAAGCCCAGAGAAAGGCTGGCTGGCAGTATGAGTGTCAGAGGCAAGTCAGCTTTGGAAACCTGGGGAGAATTCCACCTTTCTCCACTATGCCAGGCTCACTGCCAAGCTGCTGCTAGAGACCCAAGCTCTGGGTAGAGCTCATTTCAGCATGAGTCAGAAACATGAGGGAGTCTTGTTCACACATGCCTAGCAAGGGAAAAGCCCCAAGGGAGGTGCTTCCAGGGTCCCAATCAGGGACTTGGGAGATCTTTTCTCCTCTCTAGGAGGAGAGAGAGTCTACCAACTGGCAGGGTATGCTATCTCCAGGCTATCTGCAGGAGAAAGGATTTAGAGATGTTCTGAGACCCTCTTTCCATGGCCATAGTCAGTCTCCACAGAGTACAGGCTAGGGAGCATTCATAACAGGGGAAAAACATTCCTCTAGACCTTTAGCAGCAGATTGGCTAAGACAACACTTCCACCATTGGAATTTTTCTGTGAGGTTACCTTAGAAGGCAGAAAGAGTAATCTGAGCCACTTATTTGATATCTTTTAGCACCTATGGAGTCAACTTTGTATACAAACCAATACTTTCAGTGGTTCCTTAACTCAAATTTCCTCTCCCAGGATTTCAGTGGAGGAAGAACTTGGAATGGGCAAGATAACCTGAAAAGCCAAAGCTCTTTGATATTTTGTGAATTTTGTGCATCCCCATCTCCCTGTCCTTTGAGTCAGAGACCACATTCTTGAGTGAGAACAGGGTCCAGGCAGATGATGAAAGGCCTGAAAAGAGCCTGCTAATTCTTTTTTTTTTGGTACCGGGGATCAAACTCGGGTCCTTGCACTTGCACAGCAGGCGGTGGAACCACTGAGCTAAATCCCCAGCCAAGAGCCTGCTGATTCTTAGATCCTCAGCCCTGGATAATTTTCAGATGACTAAATGAAAATAAAAAAATTCACAATGGATCAAGATTCATGTTCATGAAGAGAGCACCTATGTGGGCCTAGGTAAGAGAAACTCTGTTGGGAACCTCAAGGTAGATGCCTTGATCGTGGGGAAGCCAGGTAAAATCTAGGGAGTCTAGTTAAATTTGAGTTTCAGATAAATAACAAATTTTAGTATATGTGAGTTCCATTCAATAGTTAAGACATACTTACATTACAATTATTTATTGTTCAAATTTAACTGGATTTGCTGGCTCTGGCAACTCTGCCTGGGGCAGGCATTGTGCCTGGCATCTTCGGGTTTGTGTGGAGGTTGTATGTCATATCATTGCATGGAACAAGCCTGGTACCTAAACAAACAGAATGTGTATGTCAACATGTACCTGCATCTTAAGAGGAAGAGATCGTCACAGTGTTTTAAAGTTTTGTTTCTTGAATGATTCCACAATTATGAACTTTCTATTTCCAAACATTTCTCAAGTCTGTGGCAATTGTTGGAGAATTCCAAAGGTCATTTAGAAAAATGTGCTAGCCGGGATTCTTAGAGTAGTATGTAGAGCTTTCCCCCCCTTTTCTGTCGTTATTTAGGACTGTTCTCATTGTACTCATTTGTCTCCTCTTTGATGAGCCAAAGAGGAGGTAAAAAATGAAGACAGAAGCTGTAGGAGCTTAGGCGTGGATGGAGCAAAAGAAATCAAATCTTAGAAGTTTCAGGAGGCACGAGGGGTGCCACCAATAATTTTGTGGGTGCGGTGTACGGAGGATCTGGGCTGGGACTCAAGGAAGCCTGGTGGTATTCAGACAGTCCTGCAGGCCTGTGGAAGGAAGACTGGAGCAGCTGGTTATGGGCTGTGCTAAGGGTGTGGCACGGGCAGGAGGGCTTTTAGGCCTGGGCTAAATCCTGCAGGAGGGAGGGGGACAGGGCAGCATTACAGGTTGCAATGAAGTCCAACGGATTGCCCAGAACTCTTTGGTTGCCCTGGAAGGGAGGTGTCCGGATCTTTCTGTTCAAGGCAGGTTTGCCAAGGTTTGATGAAGGTTGTCAGAGGACTTGACCAGGATTAGCAGTGTCAAGTGTGGGACAGGGGAGGAAGTGAGCTGGCTACAGGTTTCCAGGCCTGGGAAGTGCTCCCTGTTTGCACGGTTAGACTCTCACTGTGGAGCCAAGTGTTCCTGCGGTGCTTAGGCAAGCATCCACTTTTTTTGGCTACCTCATCTGGGGATGCCTGGCTCTCACCTATGATTCCTGGAGCACACACCCTACCTCAGTGAGGGGCCTTCATGGGTTAGGTGTTCACCCCAACAGTGTCTCATTCCCCTGACTTAGACAACAACAGCTATTTGTAGGTCTTGGAAAACAGGATTGGTGGTGCTGGAAGACTCAGGCGGGAGGGCAGGATTTCTGTTGGCCGCCCTGTACCTCTGGAGCTGGGCAACCCAGGTATCTGTTGGTTCTTCGCTGACTTTTCCAAGGCTTTCCCTTCTCTCTGCCACATGCTTAGCTCCTATTTAGCTAGGGGCCACAGGCAAAGCAATATGTGCCTTTGGCCTCAGTTTCCTCATCTGTAAAATGGGAGGCAGTTCATTCATCTCTCAGACTCCAGCTAGGACATCCTTCCTTTGTTGAAGCCGAGAAGGCTTACAGTTAAGAATTTCTTTGTAAAGGCTCTTGGGATTATCTCTGATATTTTCATTTTCTTAAATTTGAGGATTTCTGAAGACTTTGAAATAAAATCTTGGGGAATGTCGAGTTTACTGAACACCAAATTATTGATAGTATATTGGGGCTGATGAATGGTCTTAAGTGACCTCTTTGTGTTTTTGTACAACCTCTGTACACTGAGAAATTAATGTCACCTTTAAGGACTGTGGTGAGAGGGAGGGGGTCCGTGTCATTTGTGCACCTGTTTCCCAAAGATATTGATGGGTGAGCAATGGTTTTGTGCAAGGAGGCAGAGGTTCCATTCTGTGGCCTCGGAAGGTCTTAGCAGCACAGATTCTGTGTTCAGTGCACACAGCTCACCGATGCCTGACTCCTGGAGTGTGATACCAGGAACCAGAGCAGGAGAAAGGACAGGAGAGGGAACGGGGAAGGGGGCATGAAGGAGGAGACAGAAAGGAGAGTAAAAGAGAAAACCACACTGTCGTGAAAAGTTAAAAACCTTCCTTTCAACTTTCCCTTATAATTAGCTGCTGCAGCTGGAGGGAAAGGACTCTTGGTGAGTTGCAACTTGTTGGGCAGCATCCCCAGGACGTGTTTGACCGGCTCAGGGTTGGGGGAAATCTCAGTTCTGATGGCCCTTCCTCCCTCCCTGTCTTCTTATTTTAATTCCCTGTCTGGGAGGTGCTTGTGAAAGGTTTAAAATGTTTTAGTGTCCTCAGCCAAAAACCCTTCTCTTTGGGACTGGCCTGGAGATGTTGGAAAGGGCTTGGCTGAAGCAGGCTGCTCTCCACTGGTGGCTCAGGACTCAGCTTGGAAGGCCTTAGGAGGACCAGTGGGGGAGGTATGGAAGGAAGAAGGGGCAAGTGCAATCTGGTTGATCCCATCAAGGCAGGAGCCTTTTAGGATCCCAGAATTGTCTTGTGGACAGCTGCTTTCTCTTGCTTTGCAGAGGCCTTGATTATCTAGGAGGGCAATTGCCTTGCACAGTGGATCCCCAGAGCAGTGTACCGGCATGGCCTGGAGGGAAAAGCAGGGCCTGATTTTCTGCTTGCTACCTGAAGCAAGTTACTTCATTTCTCTAGGTCTTAATTTACTCATCTGGAAAATGAGTATAATGATAATATTATTTCCTTCAGAGGGCTTCTTAGCATAGCCCCTGGTAGGCTTGTATCTGCTGAGCATAGGTATAAGCTTCTGCTGTTATTGCTATTGTACATAGACTTCATTTGTGGTCAGGCCACATCTGCCTTCCTGCACCACCCAGAGCTGGACTGCAGCAGGAAGGGCTGAGATTCTGTGCCAGTGAGAATGTCTATCTGTAAGCAGTTGGCAGAGCTCCTGGAGATGGAGGCACTGCCTTATATTGAAGCAGAGTGGGGCTATTGAGGAGGCTGCCTGAAGTCGGCTGCATATGGAATAGAGGGTCCTTTGGGTGCTCGGGCAGGCCCTGTCCCTGACTCCATAATTTATCTTTTCCAGTTTATCCAATCAGCCACAGAAGTGTCCTCATCCTCACTCCTCGGCATTGTCAGTCAGGTGAGTAGCAAAGGTCAAGGGAAAACATAGAAATCCTTCAGTGTCATTCAATTTCCATCTGGTGTGAGGGTCTCTTCCTGCAGGCAAGCCTGGCCAGCAACCGTACCTCTGTTTTGAAGAGTTTACAAAGTGCCAAGAATACTGCATGTGATATCTCTGCACTTCATAGTGATTCTGAAAGTCAGGATAATTATTCCCATTTCATGGATGATCAGCTGATCCATAGTAAATTTAAGCCATATTCCCATGATTAGATAGCCTTTAAATACATCAGTCAGAGTTGGAACAGTATGATTCCAAAGCTTGGGTTTGTCATAATAATAACTGACATGACTGCAGCCATGGATTATTAATTCAGGTGGATTATTTTATTGAAGTCCTGACACCAACCAAGAAAATTGCTAAATTACAGATGGAGACATTGTGTAGTGGAGAAGGAAAGACCAGACTATGATTGCCTTTCTGAGACCTGGTAGGACTATGCAAGTGCCTGTGGAGGTGAAGTCTGTCTTGTACCAGCAGTAGTCCCCTTGTTTTAACCTATCAGAGAGCCCAATAATCACAGGATTCTTCAGAGATTCTTCAGGATTCTTCATGTCCTTGATGCCATGCACAGACCTGCCTGTGACCATAAACTCAATAAGAGCTGAGACTGTGCCTTATTTATCTAGCACCTACACTGCCTTACGCAAGTCAACACTTAATAAATGTTTTTGAAATGAAATTGGTCATCATAATAATAGTGAACATTTATTTTATTTTATTTTATTTTTTTGGTACTGGGGATCGAACTAGGGACCTTACGCTTGTGAGGCAGGTGCCAGAACCACTGAGCTAAATCTCCAGCCCCTTGAACATTTATTAATTGCTCTCTGTATGCCTGTCATATAGAACACACCCCATGCCTTTAGCTGTCCCCATGACCATCTCATTTGACAGATGGGGAAACTGAGGCCTGAGGAGGTGAAACTGATTTTCTTAGTGATACAAACAGCAAGTGATAGAGTTTTGAAGAGAAGAACAACTTCTGCCTTCACATCCTGGGCCTTGTCTTTTATACAGGTTGTTGGTAGCAAGCCCCTTACCAGAGCCTCTTTCTTTTCCTTCCTTTCAGCCTCCCCAAGGTTCCCAGTGGTGCTACTTTCCCCCCTGCCCCTTTCCCTGTCCTTTTTCTGAAGGGAGGAAAAAGTTTGCAGAACTTTTATGTTGGAGCAGGGCCACCTGGGTCATCAGAAAGAAGGGAATGGAATTAATAGGAGAAAATGAAGACATGGAAACAAAGTCTTTGTAAATAGGGAGGGGTGGAGGGGTTGAAGGGAAGGCAGGGGAAGGGTGAAAAATAAGAAGCAAGAGAGAATATGTAAAGGTACAAATTTCCAATGATGAATGTCACTATATTGTATATCTAAAATGTACCAATAAACTTAATTAAAAAGAAAAAGAAACCAGCCAACGCAATTTTACTTCCTGTCAAGTCCACAGGCCTACAACTTGCAAATGGGTCTATTACTTTTGTTTTCTATCCTTGTTTGCTTTTGGGTCTTGAACCCATTCCTCTCTCTTAGGTAGCTTCAAACCTAGGGAATGAAGTCTGTCATTTGGTCTTGGAGGATGGTGAGGGGTCGTTCCTGAGGTGGTTGAGCAATGTGTTCCTTCCCTCTCTCTTCTTCTGCCTTTATCCCTCTTTTCCCTATCTTTTCTAGTCTCCAGGGGTCAGGGACCCCCAAAAGACTATATTAGTTTCCTTTTGCTGCTGTAACAAATCACTACTAACTTAGTGGATTAAATAGAACAAACTTATTTTCTTACTGTTCTAGAAGTCAGGAGTGAGCCTAAAATCAAGGTGTCCACAGGGATGGTTCCTTCTGAGGTTGCAAAGGAGATTCTGTCCTTTGGTTCTTTCAATTTCAAGCTGCTGGCTTCTCATAGTTTCTTGGCTCGTGGCTGCATTGCTCTGACCTCTGCTCCCATCATCAAGCACTTTCTCTCCTCTGTATCTACTGCTTTAGACCCATCTGGATTATCGTGGGCAAAATCATAGAATTACTTCTGTAGAGTCCCTTGGGGCTATAAGGTAACATCCTTATAGTTTCTAAGGATTAGGACATGGATTCCTTGGCTGGGGGAATGGGTATTTTTTAGCTAACCACAGGGATGGTTTGTACTGCAAGAACGGCCTCCACCTTCTGTTGATTATATTGGGAAACTTTTACCACCTGTGGCTCTATACCCGGAGCTGTTCTAAATCCTCTATGCCCATCATCCAGTTGACTTTTCACAACCCTCCTGTAATGCTGCCTCTAATATTTTTGTTTGGAGAAAAGGTCACACAGGGAGTAAGTCAAGAACCTGAGATCTGCACCCAGGTCTATTTGCTTTCAGGATCATTCTCTTCAAGATCACTCTCCCTGCCATGGTAGCCATTCTCTAAGAAGGTTCCTAATAATCGCTGATCACTCTCTTAGGTATTTCCTTCCCACGCTGTTGGGATTGTTCAGTGTGACCAACAGAATGTCATGAGCTGATGGTTTGTTGTCTTCTGAAATTAGATCTGCAAAGACATTGTAGCTTTTGCCTTGCTCCCTCTCTCCTGGACATACCCATGTCATGAGGACCTTGAGCAGCCCTATGGAGAGGATCACACAGTGAGGAGCTGCAACCTGCCAAAATCCAGCGTCAACATGACAGTCACATGGAAGTGGGGCCCCTGGCTCTAGTCAGGCCCTCAGATGGCTGCAAAGTCAGTCAACATCTTAGCTGCAACTTCATGAGAGACACAGTGTCCAAATTACCTTCCAGTGTTCTATTCTGCAGAAACTGCGAGGTATACATGTTAAGTTTTGGTGTTCTTCACTGCTTCTTGAAGCAATCTGTTACATACCTATAGATAACTAATGCAAGGCCCATAGTCTAGGAATCTGGACAGCTAGCTGGCCATGTGGCACACACCTGTAAACCCAGCCCTCAAGAGGCTGAGGTACTAAGACCTCATGTTCCTGGCCAGCTTAGGCTACATGGAGAGACCCTGTCTCAAAAAACAAAACAGAACAAAACAAAAATCTGGTTAACTTTTGCTCTGAGCTCTGGCTATGCCAAAGTCAGTGCTAGTCAGGCCTTGACCTTCTGGCCCACAAGTTAGATCTCAGCAGGTCAGAATTCCGGCCTTGAAGAGGAGAAGCTGACAATTCCAGAGCATCCCCCATTCTCACAGAGGACATTTCATCTATCATTTTCCTGCTCCAAAAACAGTGGCTCCTTATGCCCTTAAATGACTCTCTGGAGCCCACACTCCTTACTCGAGCATTCTGCTTCACTCCACATCCTTCACAGCCCCCTCAGTGGAATTTCTCATTGCTCCTTGGGCTGACCCTTTATGCCTGGTCAGATCAAGATGCGCTTGGTACTGCAATCTCTTCTTGGTCCACTCGCGTGCATGACTTCATTGGTTGAAATGAATGAAAAGATACAGACAGTGGATCTGCTTGGTACCAGGAGCTCATGATTGATGCCTGTAGGTGTGGAGCCTCCATTTTTACCAACCATTTTTAGACTGGAAAACTCAGGTTACATGACTTTACTAAAGTCCCAGGGGAAGTAAGTGATGGAATCAGTGGTGTTTGAGTCCCTGTGGCTTTGAGTCCAGTATTTTTCCACTTCACCATCTTGCAACTGACTCACATTTCCATGGAATTTTACAGTGTACAAAGACTGTCTAATTTTTGTCAAGCTTCACAGTAACTCAAAGAGATAGATGAAACATCAATTATTCACCCCATTTACAGATGATAAACCTGAGACAAGACAGAGGATTTATCATTAGGGATCAAGCAAGAGAGCTGGGACTTCCAAGCTAGATCTCCGTTTCTAGGTCCACCATTCTCCCATCTGCCTTCTCTTCATCCATAGAGTTTTGCATATGATTGGTACCCAATGCATATTGATTGATTGCTTTTTAAATATATTCTTTAGCAAAAGGTGCAAAAATAGTCAGGTGTCTAAGAAATTGTCAATGATGACAAAATGAAGTTTACTTTAAAAAAAACTTAAAGAAGTCAGCCAGAAAGTATGAAGGCAGACTTCAGAGGGAGCCTGATGGTGGAAAGGGCTGCTCATCATTATCACTCATCACTGAGCGCTGTGCTGGGGAATCTCTAAGAATGATCCATACTTGCCCAGCACAAAGCAAGACTGCTTAATTCATAAGGGCTGAAGAATGGATAAAATAAGCTACAAAGGGCCCTGAGAACCCAGCACCCATTGTCTTAACGCTAGATGCACCATTGTTATCCAAGTTTCTGGAGAAGAGCAGGAAGGAGGGGGAAGTTTGTGTCCCTGAGGCTCAGCATGCCAGCTGCTGAAGAAGCTGGTTTGGAAAGAGGTCCTTTGAGGACAGAGACACCTGGATTCAGGCTCTTTGGACTTGTGAGAGGTCTCCCAGGTCATTCTACCCAAACACTTGTCCTCAGACCAGCACCAAAATACTCTACAAGGCACTCAGTACATATTTACTCAATGAATGGAGATTCCATCAGTGGAGAGAGCTATGGCTTTCTCCTGTCTCTGCAGGATTCCTCTAAGACCTTGGCACCACAGGCAGCCATTCTAGCCTGACTGTTTTGTGTTGTTGGGGATGTATTTTTCCCCCTTGCCCCACTCTAGCTAAATCAAGTGGACTCTTGTCCTATACCCCATAGACACAGCCCTTGACTGGTCACCCTCACGCTTGAGCCAGTGTCTCAAAGCACCTTTCATTCTGATTCTAAATGAGTCAGAGGTGAGTAGGAGTCAGAGGGGAGAAGAGGCCCAGGGGCCAGCATGAGAAGCAGCCTAGGAACCTACGTGTTGGGCTTTCTGTGGTTCAGAGTCCCTGGTGACTCCACTCCAGTGTGTGTGGGTGAATGGTGAGGATGGACAAGGACTAACACATGGTCAGCATGGAGCAGCACTAAATCTTCCATCTGTGCTCCAGGGATGTGGTCGAATTCAGGTTCTGCCACATGTGAGCTGCCAAGTATGATCTTGAACAATTTCTTTCTGATCTGGGCCGCAGGATCCTTCCTGAGAATGAAGCACTTAGATTCCTGCATTCAATCCTCCACTTAACAATCCTAAGTCCCTACTATGTGCCAGGACACTTTGTCAACCTTCACTTTGGTGAATGAAATCTGGTTCTGCAATCACAGAGCACAGCCAGAGCAGAGGGAGACAGAGCCAAATAGGATAATGAACACACAAGTAACAGATGTAACGGCAGATGAGATGCTTGAGATGGAGGTACATCCAGCAGGGTGAGTGGAGTGAGTGACGGGCCCATCCTCCATAAGGTGACCATAGATGATGTCTTCCAAGAGGCAGTGAGTGAGCAAAGAAGGGAGAGGAGGCAGCACACTGTGCATGTATCTGGGGGAGAAGATTCATACAGGAGGAACTGCAAGTTCGAGGTCATCAGAGGACAGCCTGTTTGGTGTACATATTTGAGAAACAGCAAGGAGTCCAGGTAGGAGAAAATTATACAGAAAATACCAGGGGGGAGGGCCCTGATAAAGCCCCTGGATTATACCCGGGTGACTGGGGAAGCCACTGGGGCCCTGAGAGCCAGGAAGTGGCATGGTGTGACTTGTGTGTCAGAAGGATAAGCTGATCCCCAAGTTCTACACAATAGGCTTCTTCTAGCTGGAGGCAAAGCTGGCCTGGATAAGCAGAGGAGGGGGCAGGCTAGTCCCC